TTATTAAATAAAGGATTAACTCTTCATATGCTGTAAAATGCAGGCATGTCTCCTGTGCAATAAATCCATTATTTTTCCTCCATGTTTACAGGAGGCAGTCTAATGTGCACACATGGTCACATACAGCCAAGAAGAAGGAAGTACTCTGTTTACTGAGACCTTAAAATAATGCCACAAACTAAGTTTCTTCCAGCACTGTAATAGTTTAAACCTAAGCAAACTTTAAAGCTTAGCTTGTAGAATAATTTTTGTCTGGTGGAGAACTCCATCGAAGAGGCTCGAGGTTGAATGTTCTTTCATAAGAGAAATTTTCAGCCACAGGGAAGATAATTCATGGTGATATACTTGATAAGAATAATTTCTTCATTCCTCTGGCTGGAAAATGAAAGTCTGAGTGCTTTACATTCAAGTGTCAGGTTGCTCTTGGACTGAAAATTCCAGTAATGTTAATGGGGTCTGTTCTCCATTTAAATGTGTTCTAGAAAACCCGTCATGTTGAGGAAAAAAAGAAAAATCAAAGTAAAGGAAGACTTGGCGGCAAAAAATGGAAAAATAGCATTACTCGTATGTATTTGTAAAATAGTCTTAGAAAACCTAATTCTTCCATTCTTTGTGCTTGCTCCTGAGCCAAGACTCAAGAGGTTTTCCCCTGTGGCAGGTTCAAACTTTTCACATTGAAAGCTCAGAAAATGAGTGTTTCACTGGGACTGACAGGACTGGAGTTTAGCTGTGACTTGGGGACGGCTTGATGTGGAGGCTGTGGACAAAGGCTGCTCCTGTGTCTTCTCTAGGGAGGATAGTTGCATTGGAGGCAGTGAACCCAAAGACCATTGTATTGCTGTTTGGTTTCCTTTGTGTAGAGGCAGAATATCATCTGACTTTGTGCTGGTGGAGCTTGCTGCAGTGGATGTGGCTGTGTTCCCATTATCAAGGCATTCGGGCTCTGGTGGCCGCCTACCTGCACTGTAGTGGGACTCCAGGCTTTCCTAGAAGGAGTGGGTGGATGAGAGAAATGGTGCCATGTACTTTGTTTTGTGTCTGTGCTGCACAGAGTGAGTGCTGAACTTGGCTGTGTGGTCTCTTTTGTCACTTTAATTATGTGTGGGGAGAAGAAAAAGAAGCAGAGATGGGTACTTCTGCAGCATGTTGAACTTCAGGTTGCCAGAGCATGTCATATAAATGCCGAGCTAGCTCTCTAAGCTTTTCTTCTGGAAAACCATATATGGGGGTTGAGTGGGTTTGAAATCCCTTTTTTTTTTTTTTAAGTATTTTCATGTTTAATGAGGCTTGGAGCAACCTGGCATAACTGAATGTGCCCCTGCCCATTGCTGGGTGATTGGAACTGGATGATTTCTAAGTCCCTTCCAACCAAAACCATTTTGTGATTGTGTGATTTTCATTCCCTGGGTTTAGGTATATTTATTTCAGGTCTGCTGCTGCCCTGAATTTTCAACGTGCCTAGTTTTTTTGGTTTGTTTTTTTTTTTTTTTCCTCTGACTCCAGGACTCAACCATCAAAAAAGAAGAGCACTTTAACCTGTGAGCAGAGGCTCTACATGGCCATGCTTTGGGCTGCCTTGTTAGATTTACAGCTTTGCTGTGGGTCCTAGGTTGAACAAGGATATTACAAAATGTCCCTGTTCAACCTAGGACCCACAGACGGGGCTGTGTGTTAGGGAGAAACACATAAACTGATTTTCAGCTTTACCTGCCTATGCATGTGGTCAGGTTGGTTGTGGATGTGAGATGCAGCAGCCACGTCTGGCATGAAAAACACTCTCAGCATGGCTGAGAAGCTGCAGCTTGTGCTTCTAAGGCCTGCCTCAAAAACCTGGGGGTTTTAGTCGTTCTCTTTTGTCATTAACTATGTGTTTAGTGCTGAGTGTATTAATTATTAGTCTGAGTACGTTAAATCAATCAGATCTGTGAAGGACAAGGGCAGGGAGTGGATGTCACTTATGCCACTATGAAACATCTGGCTTGAAAAAAGAAAAATTAAACAACTAGCAAAGTACAGGGCACACATTTTTGCACTGCTTTTGCAATTGCCTTTTAACATTCCCCTACTCATGTATTTTTTTTTCCAGGAGTTTTATGCTGCTGTTGTGTGGGTTTGAAGCAGTGCCAGGGAGACAGCTCTCTATATGTCTCTGCCACTGTGTGCTTGTGCCTTAAATAGTTGAGTGCAATTCAGTGTGGCGGTAAGAAAATGAGCAGTTAATGTTGTTCAAGTGTTAATTGTGCCAGAGTGTGTTTTCAGTGCCTCAACCCAGCAATAGTAAGAACAGTTAATTAATGCTTTTGTGCGATTTCTTTGAGCGAGTAGCAGGAGTCTGCTTGGGGACAGGCTGTAGTGGCTCATGATTGTATGTTGTCCTTAGTTTTCCTTCCATTTGAAAAATCATGAGAAAACCAGTGTATGTGGAAAGTCTTGTTAGTAACCCCCCTCAGACAGAGCAAGTGGTCCTTGATTTCCTTTTGGCCCCTGACACTGTTGAAGTCAATGTCACTGGCAACAACTGTAGGGAATCAGGGTGAAATAACCTTGTTCTCCATCCATACAGTGGCAGCAGGAATGGAAGACCTCAGTATAAGAATAAAAGCCTGGTTTTTTTCTGTAGATCTGTGTAGGTAAGGTACACCCTGTGCTGTCATCTGTACTTCAATTCTGTGGACTGGTACAGGCATGTACAGTACATTTTACAGAGATGTAAAATTGCCTGTAAGTGGGAAAAATGAAAAAAAATTCTACCAGTACTTTATGAAGACAGTTTTTCAGTGGTATGTTGTGTAACTGAAGGGATAATCAGACTCTAATTAGACCCTTTCTTTTAATATTGTTCAACAATCTCAATCCTCCAAGCTTCTCATGGAACCTGTCTGAAAAATATGGTACCCCAATGTAAGCTGAATAATTATTGAAATTCAAAAGCATTAAGTCTTAAATTAGCAGAGGGAAAATAGGTGTTTGTGACACATACAATGGAAGCACCGTTCAGAAGGTCACCAAAACCCATCCGTGTTTGGAATTATAAGAGAGGCACTGGATATGGCACTGAGTGTTAATAACACATATGAGCTATTCAGGATAAGGGTAATCAACGCTTCAGGTCACTCAGATCAGCTGGTCACAAATACATTATCTCCTCGAGAAGCTTCTCTCTCCCTGCTTTGCAATATCATGCTATTGTTTGAATGCATTACAAAAGCTTTTGCACGTTTGGAAATGTAAATTACAGCCTTCTCTGCTGCCAGGGGTACTGTATACCATCAACCAGGGGAATCAGTGTGAAGCCTGATACATTTGGAGATCTGTCACATTGCCTTCTTGCTTTTGCCAGGGACATGTAATGCTTTTCTGAATACCTTACTTAACTGTGACCAGCCACAGCCCGGGATGGGGAGAACAAGTGGTGTGTGGGTTTCTCCGACTGCTGTGTCTGGAGCCTTTTAATCTTGCTGGCTCCTTCCCTTGCAAAACCAGATTGCACTCAAATGCATTGTCTCTGCTCCCTAGAGCCCTGACAGCCACGTGTTGGAAACATTTGCCTTTAACCTTAACCTGTTACGAGGTAGAAAGGAGCCTGAATCAAAGCCCAGGTAAAAAAGGCTGTTGGAGTTTGGAAACACTCGTTGTGGGAGCTGCAGTTGGATCCAGCTGTATGCCTCTCTGGACAGGGACGTGTAGATCCACATGTCTAGCCAGAGCATTTGCAGCCCTGCCCTGAAATTGTTCTTCCTCCAAGCCTGCAATTTCCCATCCAAACAAACGAGACTTTTGAATGCAAAGAGTTCTGCAGTGCCAGCACCAGAGGACACTTGGCAGGTGTCTCGGCCTGGAAGGGGCTGGGGTGGACTCTGGGCAGCAAAACCAAAGCATGTGTGCACACCTTCGCATTCCTGTCTCACTTCTCCAGACAGAGATCTCTCAGCTGTCAAAGCCATCCTGGTTTGCTGGCAAGTTCTCAGTTCTCCCTCTGTTATTTCATGGGGCCTGTCTTACACCTTCGGGGAAGAGGCCCCATGGAACCAGCAAACTGCAGGGCTGGGGTGCGGAGGCTGCTGGGTCTGGTCCCCACCAAGCTGGAAGGAGTCAGGGCCTGTGCCACAACTGCAGGAGGCTTTTGGATGAGGACCCCCAAACTTTCTTGCAGGAGGTTGTTAGGTACAGAAACTAGCACTGAATATTTAGGAATTAATTAGTGCACTTCATTTATTTATTTATTCCACCGGAAAGTGGCTTTGTCCAGTCTCTTCAGCAGCATTATGATGCACGGTGAATAAATCACACTAAAATATCCAGCACGTTCTGGGGTTGGGCTTTGGAAATAGTGCTTACATATTTTTGTCTCGTTAACACTGTGAATCTTTGGGATTTTATTTTTAAGTGCTACAATGTTTCCAGTGCTTTTTTCCAACTCTTACTAAAGTGTGTTTCTCCAAGACAAAGGACAGGACTCTACGAGCATCCATGGACATGCTTCATTTGACTCTCCTAAGTTGTTTTTTTTTTCCACGTCATAAGTTAATATTCTCCTATTTTAGGTAGGGATCTCTGTTTTACAGGATTTTGGCAAAACGTATGAAGATGTATATTATATAAAGTTTCTCCCTGGAATTTTTATTGTGTGCATAAAGTTGTATCAATCATATTTCACTTAATGGATATTTCATTTTGCTCTATGAAACTAGTCCAAGGTTGCTGCTGACAAGGTAGAGTCCAGGGGGCTCATTACATCCCAAGTGTTGGGCTTTTTTTTTTCTTCTGCCAGATTTTTCTCAAGTTAAAATTTATCTGTATTTTGTTCAGCTTGTCTGCTTATTATCCAATGTATATATCAGAGGAAAGGTTTATATATATATATAAATGTTCACATACCAAAGTAAATTAATAAATCTTCCTTTTCTTATGAAAGAGGTAAAGAAAAGTACCTGGCCAATACAGTACCATTAATCTATTCTCTTTTCTCCTTTCTCTCTTTACCTCTCTCTCTACAATAGAAGTGGAACAAAAAGGTAATTAAATACCTTTCAAATTATATATATATATTACTTATGTATAGGCTAAGTTATTTAACAGTTTAACGTTTTAGTTGAAATACTTTGTCATTAATTCTCACTACCTTTTTGTTAAAGTTTATTTAGTATCTCTGCTGCTCAACTTCACCAGATAACTCACGTTTGCTGAAAAGTTTTTAACCGGTGCCACCTTTTCTCTTCCATTAAATTTATATTCAAAGGCTTAGAGAACTCATTTTCCTGCCCCAAAGAATTTGGAAGGTGTGCATACATATGTATGTGCATAAGTATATCTAATTATGGCATAAAAGCCTCTTGGAAATAGCACCCCTTTTTCAGCAACTCTGCGTGGTTACTTAGACTCCAATGGATCTATATAATTTTATACTGGCTATTAAATCTGATTTTCCTCCTGTCTTGCTCTCCAGACAACATTACCAATTTCTGCATTTACAAAAAATAATCAATTATGCTCCGAGCAGGAAGTGTGAATGTGGGATCCCATCCTGCCAGCCCCGTGTTGCCGGAAGCGCGCGGTGGGATGCTTCCTCATGCCTCCCTGCCGCCCATCCCATCGCCACGGTCACTGTGCGGAGATCAGCGTTCCAAATAACCAACCAGTATTCTCCCCCCGAAGGGTGTGCAGCGCCTCCAGGCCAGGAGGGTGCTGGTGGGCATGGCCAGGGCCAGATTTGCTCCGCAGCATCCCTCCTCTTGCCTCCCCATCCATCCATCCATCCAGCCGGCCGGCCCCTGGCTGGTGGTGTTCCCGTGGGGCCGAGGCCAGCCGGGCAGTGGCTGAGCCTCTTCCCAGGTCCTGGGTGTGCCCTGGCCCCTGACAGCCCCCCTGTCCCGAAGTCTGAGCAGCAAAGCATCCCAGTTAGTCAAACTGCTCCTCTGTGCTCCTCTCATGTAACAATAGAAGGTATATGTTTTTAAGTTTGAATTACTACTGTATTTAACAGGACATTTTTTAACTGATTAAAATCTAGACATTGGGTTCCTCTCCAGCAAACTTTATTCCTTTCCTTCCTTCTTTCCTTTCTTCCTTTCTTCCTTGTCTTTTCCTTTCAGCATCCATATGTCATTCGTTTTTAATTGTGTGGACTGCATGTTTCATGTGTCCTGTAGCAGCTTGGAAAGTCTCATTCCTAGTTATACTCCAGATGGGTGTTCCCCCTCCCACTCCCTTTGCTTTAAATGCTCCTCTGAGTTGCTAAGGGATTCACCTCTGCTTTGCTATTGGTATCCTTTAAATATTTAATATCACTTGGGCTGTAAGGATGGGAATTTCTTTCTCTTATTTCCATTTCTAGGCCACTCTTCTGTGGGCTGTTCAAATAAATATCTGGATCAATTCCCTCGGAGTTTAGCCCTTCACCTAGTAGGTACAGATTCACTGCAGAATATAATTTGGAAACACAAACCCAGAAATCCTTTGGGGGCACATATTCATTTCAGAGTTTACAAAAGCGAGTGGTCCAAGTAAGTATACCTGTAAAAATAGATTTGAAAAGCAATAAGAAAACTAGCCACAGCTGATAGAAAAAGCAGGGGGGGAAAAAACCCAGTTTGATGGAGCAGATTTTGTTCCAGAGCTATGGTGGGCAGGAAGGATAGTCTCCAGCTCCAAGGCATTGCTCTTGGGTTTCCTCTCATCACGAGTGTCCTCTGCTCCGGGACTAGAAGCTGTTGAGATGCTTGGGCCAGCCACCCCTGAACTGCCACTAACTTGTGTTTTTCTTTCAAATTCTTTTCCCCTACGACAGTTTTTCTTTGCCCTGGACTGCTGAAGGGGGTTTACCAGAGCGAACACTTATTCGAGTCTGACCACCAGTCGGGCGCCTGGTGCAAGGACCCTCTGCAGGCCTCTGACAAGATCTACTACATGCCCTGGACGCCGTACCGGACGGACACACTGACGGAGTACTCCTCCAAGGACGACTTCATCGCCGGCCGGCCGACCACCACCTACAAGCTCCCGCACCGGGTGGACGGCACGGGGTTCGTGGTGTACGACGGGGCTCTGTTCTTCAACAAGGAGCGGACCAGGAACATCGTCAAGTTCGACCTGCGGACCCGGATAAAGAGCGGGGAGGCGATCATCGCCAACGCCAACTACCACGACACCTCTCCCTACCGCTGGGGGGGCAAGTCCGACATCGACCTGGCCGTGGACGAGAACGGGCTCTGGGTAATCTATGCAACAGAACAGAATAATGGCAAAATTGTCATTAGCCAGTTGAACCCTTACACGTTAAGGATCGAAGGGACGTGGGATACTGCCTATGACAAGAGGTCAGCTTCCAATGCCTTCATGATCTGTGGGATTTTATATGTGGTGAAGTCTGTGTATGAAGATGACGACAATGAAGCCACAGGGAATAAAATAGACTACATATATAACACTGACCAAAGCAAGGATAGCATGGTGGATGTGCCCTTTCCAAACTCCTACCAGTACATTGCTGCTGTGGATTATAATCCCCGGGACAACCTCCTCTATGTATGGAACAACTATCACGTTGTAAAATACTCCTTGGATTTTGGCCCGCTGGACAGCAGAGCAGGTAAGGGGTTTAATACCAAACCAAAAATCTTTCTGTTTTTTTTTTAATATTTATTTTTGTGAAAAGCTGAAGTACACTCCTGTCTTATTGACCTGGCTGAGTTTCTGCAAATAAAGCCCCACCACAGATGTATAATGCTATTAAGACATAATTATGTGCAGATTTTTTTTTTTTGGTTTCAGTTGAAATAAAATGAATGAAGGAGTATCTACACAGTAGCCTGAAACAGTTTCCAAATGCCCATGCATTTGTTCACAGGGGTAGCAGTCTTTTATTCAGAATCGAATTTCTTTCGTACATGATCAGATCATTTTCCCTTCTGCAGGAATTTTGACAAAACAAAGCGTAGAAGATGTTGTTGTTCCACACAGCTGGAGGAAAACTGCCTGCCAGTTTAAATTACTTTGTTTCATTAAGCTGGGGGAGTTTTGTCTTTTTAGAGAAGCTCAGACTAATTGAATCTGTGAGCATGCACCCACAAGTGTGGAGTCAGGAGGAGAATCAACAAAATCCTCTAAATTCTTGCTTTATTTTCTGTAAAGTTTCTTTTTTAAAGCATTTCATGACTTGCTGTGACTTACTATACTTTATCTTAGGGGATCATCGGGCCCCCAGAGGTTTCCCAGCCTCTCCACCTTTTTTCCTGTTAGAAATGTGCTGGTAGTTACTTTAGGTATATTCCCTTATATATAAGGGGATTCCATCGTCATTTTGCATTTATAAAGTTGCCACTTTACTAATAACAAACTTAGCCTGTGCTGCGGTCAAGCTTGCATGATTTGCAAGTTTCCAAACAGGATTTGCTCAGAGGTTTTAAATGATTTTTACTGTACTGATGAAGTCATAGTATCAGGTATTTCTTGTGGTTGATCGTGTACTTTGAAAGGCTGGAAAAGTAAGAAAAAAGGCAGAATTAATATAATTTAGACAGTAAAGTATTCAACCAATAACATGGCTTTTTCTGAAACATTTCCTTTTGTAAGTAAGAAACTTGAAAGTGGATGAGGAGATTCAGAGCTTTAGATTGCAAAAGAGAAGTGAAAAGATTTCTGTTGATGAGATTTTCTTTTCCTGTGTGCAGCTTGTTACCCATATAAAATGAAAGTGGATCAAGAGATGCTGAAAGAAATTGTGGGTATGAAAATCTGGGGAGGGCTGGAATAAAAGTAGTAAACTGGCAGTGAAATTGTGATTTTTTTATGAAAATGTAATGAAGGGGAGAAGAAAAAATTGAAGAAGCAGATGAACAAGAACTGAGTGATTGTTAAGGGGTAGAGGTATTTTCAATGATGTTGACCCCGGTAAGATCTCAGATGAGTAAAAAATAAAGTAATAATTCTCCTTCTCCTGACTTAATGACAAGCATGTACTTTCTGGGTGGTGGAGTGAAGCAGAGCAATTTGTGAGCTAGTGGTTATTCCCAAGGAGTGGAAATCAATTGCATCCCTTCCATTTCACAGAGTTTCTCTCATTTTTGGTGAATTATTTCCAGGTATTATAACAGACTCTTTGCTGGTCCTTGTTCATGTGGTAACCATTGTCAGTAATAGCATCCTTAATACAAAAAAACCCAGCTTTAATCAGTGAAAAACCTAAAATAGAAAAAAAGGAAAATTTTCTCCCTTTTTTCACAGTGTAAGATGATGAAATCGGAGGATAGGTGAAAACTTTGTAGGGGCTGAAAGTGTGTCAGGTGTTGGTTTATCTGTGAGGATTTGGCTTATCTTTGTGCCACTCTGGTTTGAAGCCCCTCACTCTGGTTTGGATAAGAATTTAGAATCCCCCAGTGCCTCAGATAGAGAGGTGAAGCAGTTCTTAGCTTTGAATGGTGGGCATGAGAGAGTTAATCTGGTATTGGGGAATCTGGTGAGCCTTCTCTGACATTCCCTGTGTGCAAATTTTGTACGAAGCTTTGTAATATGGATAAAAGGCTGAATTTTACCTGTGGTTTTCTTCTCTGAGAATTATCAGGATTTCCTTTCTGGCAAAACTGCATAAGGATCCCATTACCTCACTATTTTACAAGTTTAGAGGACTTTTGAGAGGTCTGCTCTGACAGCAGCTGAATTTTTTGATGAGAAAACTTGAATGGGCCAAGACATTTGAAAGAGAAGAGAAAAAACTTCCCTAAGGGAGTTTACTGCTCCCTTACCCACATAGCCTGGTTAGTGGGAACAATTTTGGATGAATCAGTGAGACCGAAGCACTGATTTTGAGTTGGACAGGTGAGCAAATAGTTGCTTGACATCAGGTTTTTTTGCAGAGAGGAGCAAGGAGACCAGGTCTGCATGGTGCTTTCTCTTCCAAGTTCAGTGCAACCCATTTTTGGGTGAGCACCAAATTTCATGCTGCATTGCTTTACACGTAACACTAAATATCTGGTTAATATAAACCCAGCCCCTCCACCAAAGAGCAAGAACTGAAGCTGATACAACCCTGGGAAAGCAGTGAAGAATCAGGATATTTTTGTTTGGGTTTTTTTTAGATTTTTTTTAATGGAGTGGACTGTGGGTATGTGTCTCTTCTCTTCAAAAATCACCAGTGTTTCTTTGTACTAGAGCCATGTTCAATGCAGGCATTTTTCCATGGTGTTACAATTTGAGTAGCAAAATTTGTAAACAAAATCAGCTTAATTAGAAAATAAAAGAAGGATTGTAAAATTGATGGGTTGAACATATGGGTTGTTAAAAAACAATTAAGGGTGAAGTTTTAGAAGAGCTCTTAAAACCAAAAATTGATCATAACAAGAAAAGTGAAATACTTAACTACTTAAATAGCCAGTAGCCTATTGGAAATCGCTTGCATCATACATTTCAGGAATATCTGAAATAAAATACAGGTTTTGGGGACTGCAGTTCACCTAGAATCAAGCATTTTCAGTCGTTTCCCAAACTGTTCTGAGAAACTGGGAGCTGGCAGGAGTTGCTTCATTTATAGGAAAGGCAGGGCTCACATCCTCTTGCTGTTCACAATGTCTAAGCATTTTCTGTGATTTTTAATGAAAGATCTGTGCATATAGGCTTGGAACATACTTGAGACCTTCACTGTTGCAGAGCCTCTCTCACTATTTTAAAAAATGGGCTTTTACTCCTTGGGGAGAGTAAATTTCAAATCCTGGAGTTTCTGTGCTCAACTTCTGCAGCAGTTGAAGTTACCGGAGAAAACAAAATATTTTGTAATGCTAAAAGCTGAGTTCAGCTGATCTTGAAGCAATTCAAGGCTCTTGATGGAATTAAACCCAACTATTCATTTTTCTCAGAAATGAGAAAAGCTGCATTTTAAGGTTTTACCCCGCTCTTTTTTTTTTCCCCCCCTCCTTTTGTCTGGGGTGATTTTCATTTATCCCAAAAGTGGTTTTGAAAGCAAACACTCTTCAGTGCCTGTAAGTCCCAAGAAACCTATCATTAATGTCTGCCCTCAAGAAGTGAACTTGAAGATACCGAAAGCCTTTGAAGTGTATTTTCTTTGAGCTGTTTGGCCTCAAAATGAGCTTTTTGGAGGATGTTTCTTCATAAATGCTCCTGAGGTTTTGGGTTATTTCTTTGTAGCTTCTATTGAGTTTGTGAATGTGAAGTGTTAGTAAGGATAGCTCTGCATCTCTTCTCATTCTTCAAGAAGTTAAACCCAGAACAGTATTCAGGTTATTTTATTTTGTGTCCTACTAGACATATGCAGAGAGGGAAACAGAAGGCTGTAGTGACAGGATGAAAATTTTCTGCAACCTAATCAGTTGACATTCACCAGAGTTACCTGTTTTAATTATCACTCACTTACGATACATTCTGTGCACATAAACTCAAGAAAATACCAACAAGCCTTTCTCTCCAAAAAGGTGAAGTGCTCCCATCCTGCTTCCCAGTGCTGTGCTGCATGCAAGCACACACATTTCCCGGTTCTGTGCCTCAGCACCTCCCTGAGCAGGAACAGCTCTTGCCTGGACGCCAGCCAGGGGGTCCTGGGCATCACAGAGACCACAAGTTCTGTCTTTTAAATTCATTAGGTGCCCAAGTGCTGGCGGCTCTTGCCAGAGCTCAGGATATACTGGCTGAGCATTTGGGTGCTTAGGTGGGCACTGGAGCATGCCCCGTAGTAGAGAAGTCCAGGGAAGAACTTGAACCAAGTTAAAGATCTCTTTGTGCATATTTTGGCCTTGGATGTCCCAGCAGCCATTCCCAGTGACGTGGGACACACAGACCGTCCATTTTCGTGAAGATATTTTAAATTTTGTCCAGGAGACCCAAGTATTACCATATGGGCTGTTCCATGGACGTGTATAGTTAATAAATAAATATGCCCAGTACATAATGAAGATGCTGATATGATCAGTAGGACTTTGAATAAAGCCTAAATGTGCTTAAGTGTCTTCTGCACATTTCATATTAACACTGTGGACTGCCATTCTGGTAATCAAATGTGATACAGAAATTACATGGATGTCTCTGATATTTTAAGAATCCCAGAGGGTGCATGTCACACTTTTATCTTCCACATTTTGTCAAGTATTGTGGGATGCTCTCTTGACGTGTGATTGCAAGTATTTTATTCAGTCAGAATGTTTGGGTTGTTCTGTGCTTTTTCTTCCTGAAGCAGTTTCACAATGCAGATAAGGTGAACAGTCTGTCCTTATAATATGCTAATTAAGTGCATTTGTGTCTTGGGTAAAAGATGTGGCAGTATGGTGATGAATAAGGACTTTAAACACATATGACACCTCGTTAAAATGTAATTTTCACATCATAAATCTGAGGCCTTTCCTTTGACAGCTGAGTAATGTGGGCAGTGGGCAGAGGAGCTTGAACATTTCAAGGCTGCCATGTGCTCACACGTGGCTGGAGCTGCTTCCTGCGCTGCTCGCCTCCGACACCCAACTTTCCTGTCCAGGAACGCACCAAAAGGGCTGCAGGATCTTAAATCCCACTTGTGCACAGGATATGAGCTGCTGTTGCTTCCAGAACCCCTTGTGATAAGCCACCTTTGCTATCTCTGAAGTTGAATCCGGG